GGCATGAAAAACTGATGTCAATCTGTTTTTTACAACAAAAATTGTAAATTTATGTGTCTGCCCGGTTATTGATAATGAAAATTAGCCAATGAATGCACAAGAATTTCTGCAGTAATTGTAAAATAAGTGTTTGATCAAAGGACAAGATGCAGGTTATTAATAGTTTAGAACTCAAATGGAGGCCTGCATTAAAACTACGAAAAAAGTTGCCTAGACTTATGAAATGGAAATTTGTCATCAAAATGACTTGCAAGAATTAACTTGTAAATGAGAATTTTGGACTACTTTCACGTTGTGCCAATTTACTCAATATTAAAACAGTTTATGCAGCAAACAAAACCAAACAGGTAAGCTTATATCTCTGAAGGTAGTGACAAGAAAAAACTGCTGAATGTAAAGTAATAAGCAGATTCCTAACTTTTTAAACTTGTGGTAATAAATAAATCTAACGTTATTTTTATTTACTTATTTAGAAACAGAGTCTGAGGACGAGGATGAGGAAGGAGCTTAAAAGCTAAACTCTCTAAACTACTTCATTTAGTAGAGAAAAAAAATAATAAAATGCATTGTAGTGTGTATGAAATTGAATAAATAAACATTTACTCGCTTAGAAATTGCTTTTATCTTCCATTAGTTAACAACTGAGGGCTTTTGTTAATTCATAACTCTATCATGATCAGTCAAGTTGCACAGTGGCCTTTGAACTCTAAATAAAATTAATTTGTATGGGGCATTCAGGAGTTTCATTAACATCTTCAGGAGGGAAAGTGGTTTTCACTGTGGGTAAAACTTTTTGAACTGATTTTTTTTGTAAGAAAATCTTCCTCTACATGGTCAAACCAGGTGGACAAAATCATCCTCACTGCCTGTGAATTTGCCCAGCACCTAGCCCTTAATGAAACCCAATGTCTGACACAAATATTATGCTTCTGACAACATCTGCAGGGTTGTCCAGCTGTAACTTCAATCTTCACACCCACAACAAACTTGTTACTTTGTGGGTGAATTGTACAAGGACCAATTGAACATTCTCGGCAGTAGCGGGTGTTACAGGTTAGGCTCTTAATGAGAACACTGATCAAGATTCATCACTACCATAACCTGAAAGTTCTATGTTTATGAGCCCCTGTCATGCACTAGTGCACTTAGAGTGTACATGACAGATATTTTTTTTATTTGCTTAATGGAATCTACATGAGATCATGATCTGGAAATCGAAAAAAAAAAAAAAGAAAAAAAATGGTAATCATTGTTTTTTTTCAGCCTGACTAGTCCTAGGTCAACCCCCTGTGGTTTCTGACCCAACCAGAAGTGGAATTTCATGTTTTCAGATCATGGCTACAATGCGGTGTAAAAAACCACAATATCCTCTTTTTGTTTCTATATCACGATCTCTTGAAGATTCTCTTAAGCAAATTTAAAAAATATCTGTCATGTACACTTTAATAGTCTTTGTAAGCGTGGGATAGATTCTCATGGGTATAACAAAATTAATGTTCATGCCAATCAGAAAAGGCAAATCCATAAAATATAATCTAAAAATAACCAAACCACATCAGACTGTCACAAATATTAGTTATCACTTTATTGATGAAATTTGTTTTGGGAATCATCTAACCTGACTAATTCCCAGTTGTTTCTAAATTGAGAAAAAAAAAAACAGAATGAGAGGTACGAGGCAGAGATTTCTATTAACAGATCAGGACTCCCAGGAATCTAGTTCTCTCTTCTTTCCTTGTTCCCATAAGTGCCTTGTGATGTCCTCCTTAAAGATGAATTGCGACTTTAGTAAGGCTGAAGTACGAGGCTACAGGTTACCACAATTTCTGTCCAAGTCCTTGTATGAAGCAAGTCATTTGTTATTGCATTCAATGACATAACTTAAGGTGATCTTCTCTACACTGATGGTGCAGTCCTGGCAAGCTGTTTTGCAGTATTTGTTCTTTGTGGCACTAGATGTAGCTTCCCACAGACTTTCCACACTCCATATTTATTGGTGAGGTGACGTTCAAACACAACAAAATCAACAATTTCTTTAACTTCCTTATCGCTTCCTGTTATGTGCCGTCCATGTTTATCTTTAATTGCCATGACCTTCATATAAACAATAGAAACAGTATTGACTGCTGTCCACGCAAGCATTCCATTGAATAATCCCCCTTTGAACGTATTTTGTTTTATTAAAGTAAGTCGGGGGGGGGGGTTTGATCTGCACTAAAACGATTTTATACCAAATGAGTCAAACTTCTGGTAAACATATTTCTGCTAGCTTCAGAAGTAGACAAAAATGAATGCAGATGCCCACTGCATGTAGGTTTTTGAAGCTAGCTTGAAATATCAGCCTCCTTAATTAACTCTTTGGTTCTGCACTGGTCAATGTTCAATGCATATTGTCTGAAAACATTGTTGGAACACAGTTGCAAGAGAAATTCAAACATGTCTGGCATTATTTTTATGACAGCAAGAAGAACCAAACCCCACATTTTTCAACCTTGCATTGGCTACGTGGTATTATACTAACACTTTTTGCTACTAACTTATTGTGCGACAAGGATACAAAGTTGCATTGTCCGTGGACTTAGAAAGACTTTCAGAGTGATGCAGTGATGCCAACAGTTTCTGGTTTTATTTGTTTTATTTTCTCTATTCAGCATCTGCCTCAGCCCTTGCATAAGCCACATTTCACAAAACGTTACCTAGTAAAGTGCCTGAAACAAATCTACAAAACATGTAGTTGAGATGTTTTTTTTCTTAAAAATGCTTTCTTACCTGTTTTGAATGGATTTTGACAGTAACTTGAACAAAAATGTTTTGTTTTCTCTCGACTGAAGCCACTCTAACATGTAAAACCTGAGGCCTTGTTACAGCTGACACAAAACGCCAGTGAAGATTTTTTTGTGGAGGAAAGTACTCGTTGCTGAGTACCTGAAATTTGAAATCAGATCAAACAGTAACTTTCTCTGACTGACTTATTAGTTTTTGTTACATCTTGTCTAGAATCTTGATCACCTAAAGCTCGCCTTCAAGGACAGGTGGCTAACCAAGTCACCCCTAGTTTTCTTAGCATGAAGCAATTAAGAGTCCTAGTCTTCATTTGTCTCTCTCTCTTTTTCTAAAAGTACTTATACCCCAGGGGGAGTCTCCCATGTGAAAATGTTGGGGATGCTTGTTGATGAAATTTGAATTAAACCCCTAAATGAGACCAATCTGGGCTTGAGCATTGTCTGTACCCTAAAAACTGACATTACTGGTGTTTTTTTATTATTTCTTTGAGAGTAATCCTAAAAGAAACCTTGACTGCTAAAAATAGCAGTTTTATTTGGAACACCCTATAGCCTAAGTGGGACCAAAGCCCATGATTTACACCCCTAGGCAAGATGATGCAGTTGACCCGCACCTCTTTGAATCCTGTTTTGATTCGTTCTTGTTAATCTTCACTTCTTTTGTTCATAGGTTTTGGGGGCATTGTTTGTGTTGTTTACCTATTGTTCCGTTTGGCCAATTATAAAGAACCTTGAAAACAGNAACTGGTTTTCACAGGCAAAATCATCCTCGCAGCCGGTCAAGTTGCCCAGTGCCTGACCCTTATTGAGACCCCTGGTAGCTGTTAGAATTGCGTTAGAGCTAGAGCCGTCAATTTGCTTGGTTTGATCCATTGTTCTTTTAAACGTTATTGAACCAGTCATGTGAAACCAAGTGCAAGTGAGAGTGGCTACCTGACCTGGGCAAGGGCAACCACCTACTGCACTTCAGATCTTCTTGAATAAACTTCATTGTTCATTTTGACTAAATCTCTTTACCTGTACACAGTCCACAAGCCATTTTTGAGCGCATTCCATCTCTCCTTAATTCCCTGCAAAGAAAAAGACAATGAAAAATTGAAAAATGTTGGCCTGATAGATCACTGGTAGCCCAGAACAGCATAAGCTAGTAGAAATTATTGTTTCACTCAAATTTCTGTAATAGGTATTGGTCAGGAACACAGTCAAGTACTCACCCAGGGAGTGAAAAAATAATATCTTCTTATTGGAAGGTAATCACTGAATATGGTTCCTACAATAATCAAAGATAGATATTTATTCAAATGCTTGGCTAATATAAGTTTTATCATCATCAATCCTTGTTGCGCCATAGGACGCATAAGGTATCACATACAAGTAGGGCCTCATATTTAATTTTTAAAAATTAATAAGTTGTGAGATCAGTTGATAACTTTTTGGGCTTGGCAGCAAGCAGGTATGACCTAGGTCCTCTATGCATCTCTATTGTTCTCTGAAGCTCAAAAGCCTCTGTCTAGACAGATAGCAGCAATTTTGGTACAGTGCTACCAGACCAAGCTCTTGCCAGTCAAAAACTGAAATTTACCAGGCATTTGTCCAGTGACAAGCTGTTATTTGCAGGCTTGCATTATTAGATGCTGCTCAGTTACTAGCACTAAACAGGTTAATCTAAGATAAAATGCACTTAACAATTTATTCTTTTGGCCTACAAAAGCTGGAAAGAAGAAGACACGAGGGGACAAAATTATGACATATCTGTGTTAAGCAGTAGCCCATTAACAAGTATCTTAAACCAAGATTTGACTTAATAAGTGTTCTATCTATCACTGCTATGGATGCCATACATGAAATATTCTCTCAAACAGATCCAGATACACGTAAGATGTAGTTCTGTAAGAGATTGTGAGCAGTCTCTCTTTTGCTCCGAAATCCCTGGGGAAGAATGCAAAACAAGTGAGCGTACACGCATGACTGAGAGCGTGACATGTGAGCCGCAAGGAACATGAGTGTTGAAAGACGAGGGACACCTGTTGTGGCTTCGCATGGCATACTCGCATGCTCAGGACTACTCACTTGTTTTGCGTTCTTCTATGCATTAACTCCCACAGATTTTTTAGCGAAACGGAGACTGCTCACAGTCTTATGTAAGAAAGGGCTCTTTAATCAAAACTCAACAAAGTCTGACTATGCTTAATCTGACCATGGTAATCAACGGAAAATTGTTTGGCATTTTGATGAAGCTTGTGTCTGTCAATCCATTGGGTTTCCTATTGACATGTTAATGTTGCCTTTAAAACTTACCACTATCTGGAACCCTGCCAGTGATACAGTTTTTATAATAAAATGAACACACAGTTTTACCTGGACTATCAATAATTATTGGTCTGTCTAAAGGTCTTGCCACTGACATTCTGGCTAAATATGCACCATGTTGATTCTTCTTCTGTTCTTCAAGCTGCTTTTTCTGAGGGTTTGGTCTCTTACCAAAAGGAGAAGTCTTACTGAATTTAGTTCTTGTCTGTATCAGCAGAACAGAGGTGACCTGGCAGTCGTGTGTTCTGAAGATTGTAGCAGGACTGAAGCACTGTTACAAGAAAGATGACTTTTTTTTAAAATTACGAGCCACATGTTTTACCTTTGTTTTAGTTTGGGTTTTACTAACAGTTTGAGATTGGCCGAGTAGTCTAATTGGTAAGTAACTGGTCTGGTTTTGGTTTTACGACACAGTTGAAAACCTCTCTAGACATCTACAAAAATTGTGTTATCAACCCCAGAGCACTTCTCTTTAATGCTTGACCAAAGGTGCCCTGTCAAAACGAAGACTTAGGGGTCAAGAAATTATGCAACTAAATGCCATTGGTAAGGTTCATGAATCGTTTTGTATTGGTTTTCATGGATAAGCCACATGTTGTATTGTAGTCTAAATTGATTGTAAATTTATTGTTGCAAACAAACCAGTTAACCATTTACACTAGCGACAAGCCATCTGTTTTGGTTTCTGTTAACTGATATTTAAATCTTGTATTTGTTTCTAAATTGTTTAAATACTTGTCCCCATTAGTACTTGTACTAAACTACTTATCGAGGTCAAACAAACATAATTTATGTATTTCTTTGTTTTATTCTATTAAACAATTAGCTTATGAGCTTCAGATTTCTATCACATGATAGTTGACAAGGGTGCAGCCCCAGCCAGCTATCATGCATAGAAATCTAGAGCAAATAATCTAACTGCTTTAGTATAAATCTACAAGTCGTTCAAAACTTCATCTCAATCCTCTTTACAGACACTTCAAAAATGCCAAGAAGAGGTGGTCATTTTATTAACAAGGGCACACTGCTACGCTACTCACTATCTATCACAGAATAGATAGTAACATAGCCAATCAGAGAACGACATTCATGGTAGAAAGCTAGTAGATTTATACTTAGAAATATATGTGCTTATCCACAAGGGTGGGGGGGAGGGGGGGAGATAGTATAGAGGAGAGAGGGGTATTGCATTACAAATCTGTGGACATTTTCTCTTCCCTACTTGCTTATTTATGTCAATCCTCTAGTAGCGTAGCCAATTAAAATGCAGGATTTGCATTAGTCCACTAGTTGGGTGATACTAATTTATAATATTATTACGATTAATTGCATGTAAAATACAGGTTGATTTCAATGTTCTGCTGGTGAATTACACACAATGTATGATTGTCTTTGATTTCTCTCACAGATGATATCCACTTGCAAGGAGGAAATGAAAAAATCTGAACTTCCTGAAGATGATGTGGTGTATTTGGTATGACATACAACTTTTGCTAGAAGTCTTGGAACACTTCTGATTACTGTTGTGCCAGCAAAATAATGGTGTTTGTCTTCGCCTTCCCTGCTCCAGCCCAAAACAGTGTTGATGTTTTTCCATCCAACAGAATCCAAAACATTCCTGACCAACAATATACACTAGAGAGGAGGAAGAAATGATTTATGACTTCATACTTCAGAGTTATAATCGTCACCTGTTGGGATTTTGATAAGTGCCACGGGAACTTTTGGCCAGGAATTAACAAATTGTGATGTTAGTTAATTATTAATAAAAATGTTCTTGATTACTACAGTCAAGATAGAAAAAAACGGGTCTGACAGACTTAGTCTAGCAATTAACATCCAAAGGCCATTTTTACTGGAGTTGAAACTTACTTAACATCATAGATTTAATTACGAGACATAAATTTTTTAATGAAATTTTTCAACTGGTCTAATGCCGTAACCATACATGCACATGTACTGCAATGTGACATAACAAATGAGTACAGCCAAGCAATGATGAATCTTCACTCGTTTCAGGTGTGGAAAGGCTTAATGCGAGCTGTGGAGTGGAACAAGAAAGAGGAGCTTGTGGCTGATCAAGCTCTTCGTCATCTCAAGGTAGATCATTCTACACTTCATAATAGGCCGCATTCATATTCTAGGAATTGGACTAGAACTAACTTGGAATGGAGGCTCATCCTGGGAATATCATTGAAAAGCAATTACCAGTAATGTCATTTGCATTTGCAATGACTCCCTGCATTAGCCTCAGTTGCAAGCTAGTTCCAGTACAATACAGAGAATACGAATATGGCCTAGTATTGTTAATTTAGTGATACAGTGGTATACATTGTGTAACTTTCTCTTGATGTTACTGTGCATCACAGTTGATGGTTTCTGTTGTCCTTATAGGTTTACGCTCCCCTATTGGCAGCATTTACCTCTCAAGCAAAATCTGAAATCAACCTTTTGGTCAAAGTTCAGGTACAATATTTTAATAAATATAATATATAATACATCAGGGTACATCTGCTGTGTATTAACTAAAGAGAACAACTTATTACAGTATAGTATGCATAATTTACCATTATAGGGACATATTCATGCATGAATGTCATACAGTTTGTAAGAGCACAAGAAGTCATTCATCAACTGTAAGTTGTTCAACTAGATTTTACAGCTCTTGCTTGACGCATTTTACTGACTTAAAAGTTAAGTACCGGTATGTCAAGCTTAGTAACATACATCAAGCTGGAAAGGTAACTTTGGTTCAACAACAGGGTGATTATTATAACCACCTACTTATAACATTCACCCATGAAGTAATGATAAATTTCATTTTGTGACACTTGATCATTCTATACACTCAAACCTCCAGTTGCGACCACCTCTTGTAAAGTGACCACCTCATGTAAGTGACCACCCCTCCTTTGTAACCAGTTTTCCAAAATACCAAAAGTTTCCAAATCAAATCATTATATTTGGAACCTCTTGTAAGCGACCACGACCACTTTAAGAGCTAAAAGTTTGAAATTTTCTGTATTTAACCTGCCATAAGCGACAACTTCACAGATAATAGAGCAGAAATTGGATATTAAGGTGTTGTAACATTATTGTATTGCTGGGTAGCACAAGAGACGGAAGTATTTCAAACGGAAACAGGATTTTTTTCTTCAAATCGACTTTTCATGTGAATGAAATGTTCAAAACGTGGGGTAAGTCTCTGCTGTCACAATATGCTAATGAGGCACAATTTTGACCCAATATTGTCTAAGCTCTCGTAAGTGACCACTTCCCGTAAGCGCTTATGGGAGGTTCAACTGTATGTGGATTTTAAAAATGATTTAAAAACAATTTTGATATTTTGAAACCTTTTTTAATTTTGATATGGTCTTTTTTTTCCAGGAATACTGTTATGACAACATGAACTTCACAAAAGTGTTTCAGAAGATGGTCATGCTGTTGTACAAAAGTAAGTAAGAAAAAAAAAAAAACATGACTGTATGTTATATATTCTGTTAGAATATATAACATACAGTCATGTTTTTGACTGGCCCAAGAATTGCCAATGGACCATTTCCGAGTAAGTAAGTAAAGTAAGTAAGTCCAGTTTATTGTGTATATACACTTAGCTTTTGTGAGCTAGTTTGCAGGTATAACACAGAAAGTAAAAATAAAAGAACTAAAATTAGTTACCTTGTGCCTCTGTTTCAAAAAGAGTTGTAGTGCAAAACCTTTCATAGGAAAATGAGTTCAATCGGCATGAAACTGAACTTGTAGGCAGAATACATTTTCATATGAATGGTTTCGCATGAAGACTTGTCACAACTTTTCCATGTAGTGCAGCCAGGTTCATTGGCTGCAGTGACAGAGTCCCTTACGACAATCATGCTCTAGTTCGCTCAAGGTGGAAGGCAATTGTGGGGGGAAGGGGGGTGGGGGGGGGGCAGCACAGTGTGATGTGAATACATGTAGATTTGATTACTGTTCATGAAAACCAGAAAAAGCTGTTCAGGTTACTGAACTTGCAGTACCTATCTCTGCATGTACTTATTTCTGGAGGAGGAGATTGTAAAACAATTCTGAGGACAGTGACATGTGATGGATTATTTAGTATTTCTTCCCTGGGGAAGTAACAAGAATGTGCCTTGTTGTGCAGGTGTACATGATTGAAGCCCTGTCCGATCAGGAAATGTTTTGCGACCAAACATGATCAAACACTGTTTTGTACTGAGTGGCCAAACCGTATCAAATGTGTTTGAATGAACAAAATGTTTTACAGTGTTTGATCAAATGTTTGTCATCATTCAAATTTTATCCAACACTATCAAACAAGGTGTCCAACATGAAAATGGTTGGACACCAAACAATGTGTGATCCTTTTTGGTCACTGAACATTTCCCATTTGGACGGGGCTTTACACCAAGGACTCATACATTTTGTGTGGTTTATGCTAACTTCTAATGTCCCTACTGTAACAATGCACTTCAAAGCAGGGAAAGAAGGAGTGCAAATATTACTGGTTACAGAGTAGCAACCAAATTCTTAGAGCTCCTATTAAGAAAAAATTATGCCTTATGTGCAGGAATTAATAATGATTTGAATGTGAATCATTTTAATTTTGTCACCTTTAGCTGATGTTCTGAGTGAAGACACGATCATTAAGTGGTACAAAGGAGGCCATTCCTCGAAAGGAAAAAACGT